AGGGCCACGTGGATATGGGGGTTGACTCACTCTGTTTCTTTTAGTGTTCATCATTAGTGTCTCAGTAGCCACTCTCTGCCATGGCGCCACAGTCACCACCACCATGTATCTGGCTATAATCTACAGCCACTGTCAAACCACACCACTTTGCTTGCAATAGAAGTGAAACACTTTGTTAAAGCTTTAACCAGCCTTTAGTCATTTCCATCCTCTGACTCATTTCTTTGTCAGTGTAATGGTGCTCATTTCTTTCTTTCTTTTGCTTTATTTACTTTTTGTCTCTTTGAATTTTTTAATATTGATTTTCAATTGATTTTTTCATCACACTCTATCTTTCAGTGTATGTATATTGTCCTGTCTCTTCTGAAGAAAAAAAAAACTACAAAAATGTAACAAAAACGATACTGTTCATTTAAACTTAATAGTAAATAGAATGGCTGCACAAAACAACTAAAACAGGGGGAGAATACATACATACTTATATATGTATATATGATTTGAATGTTGGGAAGCAACAACACAGAACTATTCATGGACTCTTCATCGCTGATCTTTCTCCAGCCCAACCTGCCTGATCCTTGAATGCCGCCCCATAAGTTCACATGACCTGTTATCTGTCAAACTGTCCACTCTGCTATGAGAGGATACAGTGTGGGATCTCACATTAATTTTGATGTATACATACAGTAGTCCCATACCTCACTAACTTCATTTATAGCCTCCTGCCATGTTGATGTAATGATGAGTATGTATGGGTCATATCTATGGATGTCACCCGGGGTGAGCCCGGTGGTTCCATCTTCTGTTTCATGTTCCATCATCTTCTCTCTTGCTGTTCCTCGGTCCATTTTATTGTTTCCTTTGCTCACTTTGTCTCAGTTCAGAAAAAAAAGTTGAGTGCTTGTGAAGCATTAACCCTTTAAATGCCATCCAACACACAATGCACAGGCGATGGCCCTTTAAGACTTATGTGCACTCACTTCAAACCCGCTCCTCCTCACGTGCCACTGGGTTGTCACCACCACACACCAGAGCCCTCTCCATGAGTACTGTGGACAAAGAGATTGTTTCATTTGATATGTTGGCTGTTTGGTCCAGTCATTTTTACAAAGAGAAAAATCACTGTTTGATGTTGAAAAGCAACCACCCACCCCAGCAGTCAGGCTCTTATCTAATGTCCATGTTGATTTTTAGGCCCAAAGCTCACTCAGCTCTGTTAGGTATGAGCCTTATGTGTCATGTCTGCATGTCATATACTGGGCATTCCCTACATTAAGTTCAGTTAGTTGACTGGGATCCCTTAAATGAACAGTTTAGCATTTTGTAAAAGTGTTTATTTGCTTTCTTGCTGAGAATGAGAGGAGAAGATTGATACCACTGTCATCTCGGTATGCTAACTATGCCGCTGCAAATAGCAGTAGGTTATCTTAGCTTAGCATAAAGATTGGCAACAGGGAGAAACTGTTAGCCTGTGTCTCTCAAAGGTAAAAAAGAAAAGGAGACATTACATACCTACAAAATATACTTGGGCAGTGAGCAGTAGATTGTTGCTGCTCAGTCCTTTTTATGATGTTTCCATTAGCACCATCAAACACTACCGATGCTACAGTAGCATGGACACTCATTTTATTACAGTGTATTGAAATTTTTATGTACTGATGGGAGGTACTGACAAAATGTGATATAATAAATTATTCTAGGCGATATTGTCCCTACTGGGTTTCCATCATACCTGCATTTATGTCATATTAAAAAGATTTTTAAAGCCTTAAATATTTTGCAGGCACCCTAAACCAAAGTGTAAACTTGAACTTGAAGTTATGGCTCTGAATACTTGTGGCAGATGATTGCTTGGCTCAATAACTTTCTGGAGTCTTATCATAATAGTCTAGTGGATAATCCCCTCTGGACATCATGTTTTGACACTTTAGTTTTTGTGTGGATTAAACAAATGTGAAAAAGCCTATAAATATAATCAAATTTATAGTATGGACAGTTAGGATGAGAGTACCATATGAACATCTTCCAGCTGCTGCCAACACCATAAAGATCTTCTCATCAAGCTCTTGGCAAGAAAGCTAGTAAGCCCAAAATGTTGACCTACCCTTTAAGAGATACATTATGATGCTGAACCTGTCCAGTGTAAAATAACACACTGCAAGAGAAAACCCCTAAGAAAACAAAGAAAACCACTCATGTGGACAACAGGCACAGCGCTTGTGACATCACATTCCTCTGTCACCTCATGAACCCCACCTCAACATTCCATGTTAACATACATTCCAAACAACTCCATCACATTCCAGACTGAGTGTGAGAGTGCCCTCCTGTATCCCATGTTGCACTAGGTGTGGGTGAACTGCTGACTTCATGTTGCCTTGGAGCGTGACTACAATGCAAACCTGGAACCCCCCTTCCCTCAGTTATCCCCTATTGACTTCCCTGCATTTTTGACTGGTCCCACCAACCAGAGAAAGAGAAGAGCAGACAATATGCAACAGACTGCCATGTGAACACCCGTGCAGGGACAATAACATGCAAACACAGTGAGAGAACATGTCTGTCCTGCTGGTTCTGGTTCAGTATGTGCGCAGGGCTCTCTGGGAACAACACACTTACCTGTACAGAACTCTGTCTTCTTGAATGCTCATCATCATCGTCACCACCCTCACCCGAGCTGTCTGAGCTGGGCAGGTGGTGGCATTGTATTGGTCTGTCTGTTTGGAAGCATGCATTTGGTATCATTAATGTCACTCTTTATGTGTTGGTAAATCATTTAGGCTACTGTCACTCCTGTGTGCTACGATCTCTCCACATTGGCTCTTGTCCTCTCTCGCACACACACAGACACACACTCACATCTTGTTCAAGCTAGCTATTCTCTTTCAGCACCTCTTAACATAGCTCTATCAGCGCTTTTTGCAGTATACAAAAATGCACAGACACACATGGATACATTGACCAAACAACAGGCAGTGGTGTAAATTTGACTGTCCAGTTCCAGCCATCTCTGTCCATCCATCTAGCCACATTACATCATGATGTTGTGAGACAGTTTTGCAGAACGTAAAACACAATGTGAAAAGGAATATATCTAGCAAAATTATGAATTGTACAACTGCACCACTACTGTAAAGATCACCCAAATGTGCACATGTGCATCTTTGATTTACAGGTACTATGTTCCTGCTACACTTTTTATTTTATTTTAGATGTTTCTTTCTTTTAATTCTATTGCTTTTTGTAAAGAGAGGAACAACAAAATGGAAGCGCTTGTATATTATTATGATTATTATTGATTTTCTCCATCAGTGCTCTCACTGATGGAAAAAGACAGTTGCACATTCTCCTGAGCATATTCTGAGGGCTGTGTTTTCTGTCCATTGAACAGCCCCTGAGGTGTGCAGAGGTATGGTGATGCTTACAGTCTATAAGACCAGAGACACCCCCCTGTAAATAGAGTAAAGGAGATACAAATGTACTTTATGATCCAAAGGACTGGATGAACTGGGAACCCAAGGAGGATGGAGAACTGGAGTGTGATGCAGAGCTAGAGACTGCAGAAGTGCACAGCACCCATGCATTGTTTAGGCTGCTCTTTTAGATCTGCAACAGGTGTTTGCTGCCATGTTACGATGGGAAGAAATTAAGATTTTACACTACTCATTATACATACTGTTGTAAATATTGAGTGTAGAATGGTCCCCCTTCTTGCACAATGCAGTGCTGTTCTGCAGACAGAAAATGCAGCCTTAACTGTGCTGAAATGAAAAAGACCAAAAAAACAACAAAAAATATATAAAGACTATTGAATATATTAAAGAGTTACCTGCCTGTTATTTAAGCGAATAAATATCTATATATGAGAAAGAACACACCTGTATACTGTAGACTAAATCTGTATGGAAATCTATGAAATTTATTGGGAATTAAGTCCAACACCTTTTGTCCATATGAAAGAAAAAATATATCAAAGTATTCTACAATAATAACTTTGACAAAGTCTGTGTGGCCCTGTGTTGTTTGTTCATAATGATGGAAGACTCTGCTTATGTTTTAAATGTCTGAGAAAGGGACTCATGGCCTCTGGTTTTGTAAGAGGTGCAGTAAATATTCTCTCCAAAATGCCTCACAAGAAACAAATATTCATGCTATCTGACCACACAAAGTACACATGTAATTGTAATCGCTCAGAGCCTGGAGAAAGTTTGGTATTCATGCAAATGTATTTGCCTATGAAAATGGCACTCATTTAGCTGTTTATTAGGCATCTTCTTTCAATAATAGTTACATATGGTAGTCAGAGTAGATGAGCCATACATCCATTGTGTAGACTGGAATTCCTATTACTTTGTGAACATTATAACCTTCATGGAGGAAGATTTACTGCAGGACTGATGAGCCTGACTTAATTTTACCTTGGTGTTTCTAGAAACTGACAAATGAATGTCATTTATAGTGAAAGTCACTGTCCCTCAGATAACCCTCTGTGGGCAAAAGCAATACACCCACTGTGGTGAAGGTTTAGGGCCAGCACCAGACCGTTTTCACAGCAGACATGAGGACCAATAAAGGCTGCATTCCATTTATATGTATGTGCCACTTTCAGGCTGGTTTGAAAATATGGAGTAACATGCCCACCCATGTTAATTGTACTGTACAATTGCAAGCAAATCTATGTAATTCCTACATGGAGCAACAGTTTCCATTTATAAATACTGTTTTGTTTTAGAGTTACACAGAAAAAAAAGATTTTTGAGATAACATTTTAAAATTGTAAATATTAGTTTTGACATTTAAAAAAAGTCTGCACAGGAAACATTTTGGAGATCAATGCATTAGCCATACATTAGTTTGAAACCAAATTCACATGCATTGTGTGATTCATGAAAATAACCTAGGCCTTCAGTCATTCCCTGTCACTTCTACTGATTTGTATTCTTTGAACACATAGATGTGT